GCCAGCCCAGATTGCTTCGCGGGCGCACGTAAAGGGCCCGGCGGGCGCCATGGCGCCCACGGGCATCAGGTTGGGGACCACGGGTCTAGACCATCCCCGATAGACATTTATCTAACCTACTCTTAAATATCTCCAGAGATGGAGATTCCACAACCTCCCTGGGCAATTTATTCCAGTGTTTGACCACCCTGACAGTTAGGAACTTTTTCCTATTGTCCAACCTAAACCTCCCTTGCAGCAGTTTAAGCCCATTGCTTCTTGTCCTATCCTTTGAGGCCAAGGAGAACAATTTTTCTCCCTCCTCCTTGTGACACCCTTTTAAATATCTGAAAACCACAATCATGTCCCCTCTGTCTTCTCCTTTCCAACTAAACAAGCCCAATTCTTTCAGTCTTCCTTCATAGGTCATGTTCTCTAGACCTTTAATCATTCTTGTTGCTCTTCTCTGGACCCTCTCCAATTTCTCCACATCTTTCTTGAAATGCGGTGCCCAGAACTGGACACAAGACTCCAACTGAGGCCTAGTCAGCGCAGGGCAGAGTGGAAGAACGACTTCTCGTGTCTTGCTCACAACACACCTGTTAATGCATTCCAGAATCATGTTTGCTTTTTTTGCAACAGCATCACACTGCTGACTCAACTCATATTGTGAGTCCACTATAACCCCTAGATGCCTTTCTGCCGTACTCCTTCTTAGACAGTTGCTTCCCATTCTGTATGTTCCTTCCTAAGTGGAGCACTTTGCATTTGTCCTTATTAAACTTCATCCTGTTTACCTCAGACCACTTCTCCAGTCTGTCCAGATCATTTTGAATTATGATCCTATCCTCCAAAGCAGTTGCAACCCCTCAAAGTTTGGTATCATCTGCAAACTTAATAAGTGTACTCTGTACGCCAATATCTAAATTGTTGATGAAGATATTGAACAGAACCGGTGCCAAAACAGACCCCTGCAGAACCCCACTTGTTACTCTTTTCCAGCAGAATTGTGATTCATTAATAACTACTCTTTGGGAACAGTTATCCAGCTAGTTATGCACCCACCTTATAGTAGCCCCATCTAAGTTGTATTTGACTAATTTATTGATAAGAATATCATGCAAGACCATATCAAATGCCTTACTAAAGTCTAGGTATACCACGTCCACCGCTTCTCCCTTATCCACAAGACTCGTTATTTTATCAAAGAAAGCTATCAGATGGGTTTGACAGGATTTGTTCTTTACAAATCCATGCTGGCTGTTACCTATCACCTTATTATCTTCCAAGTGTTTGCAGATGATTTCCTTAGTTACTTGTTCCATTATCTTTCCTGGCACAGAAGTTAAATTGACAGGTCTTCATATGAGGATTGACATGGTCATAGGCATCAGGGGAGTGAAGCAGGGTCCAGTTGGAATGGTTTACTTCATCTTCCAGGGAACAATGAGGTGTATGCTCTGATGGTCTGATCTGGCTAAAATTAAGGTCCAGGCTCTCCCTAAGAGAAGCTGAAAATTCTACGTTATTTCTATCACATACTGTTTTGGTTGGACAATGTCATTCGTTCTGCTTCAGAAAGAATCTTGGACTGAAGGGAAGTCCTTCCGCAAATACTGCCTCCTCCTCCCCCATGCAATAATCCTCCCTTTGGAATTAATTCAGAAACTAACTGTGGAAAGCCATTTGCCACTGTATTACAAGTGAGCAGTGAAAAGCCAAGCTTCACTAGCTATTTTTTAACCGCATCAGATTGATCCCTCTCTTGTCTGAGCATCAGCTGGCATGTCACATGTAGCTTGAAATCAATGAGATACACTTAGGCAACACTTGTAGGGCTTACCATGCCCATAAAGTACATTGGATTAAATTGGCTACATGCTGCTAATTTAGCACCTATTTATTCATTAGACTTCTCAGTGAAGACCGAAACAAAGAAGTCAATAAGCATCTCTGCCATTTCCAAGTTTCCTGTTACTGTTTCCCCCTCCTCACTGATCAATGGGCCTCCCCTGTCCTTGGTCGTCTTCTTGCTTCTAATATAGTTATAGAATGGCTTCTTGTTTCCCTTTATGCCTGTAGCTAGTTTAAGCTCATTTTGTGCCTTTGCCTTTCAATCTTGCCCCTGCATTCCTGTATTGTTTGCCTATATTCATCCTTCGTAATTTGTCCTAGTTTCCATTTTTTATATGGCTCCTTTTTTATTTTTAGATCATGCAAGATCTCCTGGTTGATCCAAGGTGGTCTTTTGCCATATTTTCTATCTTCCCTATTCAGTGGAATAGCTTGCTATTTACAGCTCTAGGCACAAAGGTCACTTTAGATAGATACATCATAATAAACTACTGTACCCACACTGCTGACATTAAACACAGCTTGTTTCCCAAGCCACTACTCTAATTTCTTCCATTATCATGCAGAGAGGAACATTTTGGAAGAGTGACAGTGGAAGAGGCCTGGGAATGTAGCCAGGGAATCAACACCTGTGGGTAATTTTGCAGAGCTCCCCTTCCAAAAAAAATCCAAATTCAGACATCTGAACATGAACAGGCAAAACAGCTATGCAAACAACACCAGCACCAATTTACAGCAGTGAATGTGACTAACTTTAAGCAGGAGTAGTCTCATTGACTTTAATGGGACTTCTCAACTTAAAGCACATGAGCATATTCGTATGACGGGTTTTCACCACATCTGTAACAATGGCTTGACTTTTGCATTATCTTCCTGTTCTTTGGCATTTCCTGTCTCTCTAGGCAATGCATTTACTCCTATAGGTTTTGGATTTTAAAGCAGAAACACTGAGTTTTGTCTTTTGTGTTGCTTTGTTTGCTGTGGCTTCCAACCTTTCCTCATTTATTAAAACAAACAAAAAAAAACCAAATTCATTTTCTTAGACGTGTGTGATGTGGGTGAATCTTGTTGAGACAAGACAAATTGTTTGCATAAATAATGGTTTTTTTACATGTACATTAATCTAGCTCACTGACTCATTTAGTGCCAGATTAATGTGGAAGAGTGCTGTTCAAACAATGTCTTTCCATGACAGATTAAGTCTTTTACTGATATACAAGTATGTAACTGAGAACCTCATTTGGGTCCTGCGTCAGTAATGTCCATAAGTACATGTTCAACTTTAAATAGTCCCATTAAAGTCAATGAGGCTACTTCTGCTTAAAGTTAGTCATATGCTTAAATTCTTTGCTGAACTGGAGCCTTAAATAGGTGCTAAATTAGCAGCATGTAGCCAATTTAATCCAATGTACTTTATGGGCATGGTAAGCCCTACAAGTGTTGCCTAAGTGTATCTCATTGATTTCAAGCTACATGTGACATGCCAGCTGATGCTCAGACAAGAGAGGGATCAATCTGATGCGGTTAAAAAATAGCTAGTGAAGCTTGGCTTTTCACTGCTCACTTGTAATACAGTGGCAAATGGCTTTCCACAGTTAGTTTCTGAATTAATTCCAAAGGGAGGATTATTGCATGGGGGAGGAGGAGGCAGTATTTGCGGAAGGACTTCCCTTCAGTCCAAGATTCTTTCTGAAGCAGAACGAATGACATTGTCCAACCAAAACAGTATGTGATAGAAATAACGTAGAATTTTCAGCTTCTCTTAGGGAGAGCCTGGACCTTAATTTTAGCCAGATCAGACCATCAGAGCATACACCTCATTGTTCCCTGGAAGATGAAGTAAACCATTCCAACTGGACCCTGCTTCACTCCCCTGATGCCTATGACCATGTCAATCCTCATATGAAGACCTGATTTCCAAAGCTGCTGAGCCTTCTCAGTTGCCATGGTCTCCAACTAGAACTGCAGATACTGAGCACTTTGAAAACCAGATCTTCAGTGTATACAAGCTATGAGTTTTCCCTACTGAGGAGACAATGTTAACCCTGCTCTGGTAGTGGCTGTATATAGTGTCTGTACCTCATCATCCTGTTTTATAATTCAGTGTCTCTGTATCAGCCAGAGATCCATATTGCAATCTTCAGTAAAACATGCAGGAGTCAGGCTAGCTAGAGAGAAGGTTTAGCACATTTACTACATGCATGAGCACTCAGCTCATTCTGAGTCTGCCCAGTCTTCTAAACATACCTAGTTCACACTGGGGCTGTATCCATACTAGAATCTAGGCATGTAATTCCCATCTTGCATTGGCATACCTTTACTAGCTGGTTGTGAGTTAGTATTGACTATAAATAGTAAAGCCAAAGCATGGCTTAGCAGTGCCCAGTATAACCTGCCTGAGCCCCATGGAGGAGAGTTGGAAGTATTTCAAAGGGACGTTGTTAAGGGCCCAAAAGCAAACAATTCCGCTGTGTAGGAAAGATAGAAAATATGGCAAAAGACCAGCTTGGCTTAACAAGGAGATCTTGCACGATCTCAAAATAAAAAAGGAGTCATATAAAAAATGGAAACTAGGACAAATAACAAAGGATGAATATAGGCAAGCAACACGGGAATGCAGGGGCAAGATTAGAAAGGCAAAGCCACAAAATGAGATCAAACTAGCTACAGGCATAAAGGGAAACAAGAAGACCTTTTATAAATACATTAAAAGCAAGAGGAAGACCAAGGACAGGGTAGGCCCACTGCTCAGTGAGGAGGGAGAAGCAGTAACAGGAAACTTGGAAATGGCAGAGATGCTCAATGACTTCTTTGTTTCGGTCTTCACCGAGAAGTCTGGAGGTGTGCCTAACGTAGTGAATACAAGCAGAGAGAGGGTAAGTTTAGAAGATAGGATACACAAAGAACAAGTTAAAAATCACTTAGGAAAGTTAGATGTCAGCAAGTCACCAGGTCCTGATGAAATGCATCCCAGGATACTCAAGGAGCTGATAGAGGAGGTATCTGAGCCTTTAGCTATGATCTTTGAAAAATCATGGCAGACAGGGGAGATTCCAGAAGACTGGAAAAGGGCAAATATTGTGCCCATCTATAAAAAGGGGAATAAGAACAACCCAGGAAACTACAGACCGGTCAGTTTAACGTCTGTCCCAGGGAAGATAATGGAGCAGGTAATTAAGGAAATCATATGCAAACACTTGGAAGGTAATAAAGTGATAGGGAATAGCCAGCATGGGTTTGTGAAGAACAAGTCATGCCAAACTAATCTGATAGCTTTCTTTGATAAGATAACGAGCCTTGTGGATAAGGGAGAAGCGGTGGATGTCATATACCTAGACTTTAGTAAGGCATTTGATACGGTCTCGCATGATATTCTTATTGATAAACTAGGCAAATATAACTTAGATAGGGCCACGATAAGGTGGGTGCATAATTGGCTGGATAACCGTAGTCAGAGAGTTGTTGTTAACGGTTCTAAATCCTGCTGGAAAGGGATAACAAGTGGAGTTCCTCAAGGGTCTGTTTTGGGACCCATACTGTTCAATATCTTCATCAATGATGTAGATATTGGGATAGAGAGTACGCTTATTAAGTTTGCAGATGATACCAAACTGGGTGGGGTTGCAACTTCTTTGGAGGATAGGGACATAATTCAAAATGACCTTAGCAAGTTAGAGAAATGGTCAGAGGTAAACAGGATGAGGTTTAATAAAGAGAAATGCAAAGTGCTCCACTTAGGAAGGAACAATCAGTTCCATACATACAAGATGGGAAGCGACTGTCTAGGAAGGAGCATGGCAGAAAGGGATCTAGGGGTCATAGTGGACCACAAGTTGAATATGAGTCAACAGTGTGATGCTGTTGCAAAAAAAGCAAATATGATTCTAGGTTGTATCAACAGGTGTGTTGTAAGCAAAACTCGTGAAGTCATTCTGCCGCTCTACTCTGCACTAGTTAGGCCTCAGCTGGAGTACTGTGTCCAGTTCTGGGCGCCACATTTCAAGAAAGATGTGGAGAAATTGGAAAGGGTACAGAGAAGAGCAACAAGAATGATTAAAGGTTTAGAGAACATGACCTATGAAGCCAGGCTTCATGAACTGGGCTTGTTTAGTTTGGAAAAAAGAAGATTAAGGGGGGACATGATAGCGGTTTTCAAATATCTAAAAGGGTGTCACAAGGAGGAAGGAGAAAATTTGTTCCTCTTGGTTTCTGAGGACAGGACAAGGAGTAATGGGCTTAAAGTGCAGCAGGGGAGGTTTAGATTGGACATTAGGAAAAAATTCCTAACTGTCAGGGTGGTCAAATATTGGAATAAATTGCCAAGGGAGGTGGTGGAATCTCCCTCTCTGGAGATATTTAAGAACAGGTTAGATAGACATCTGTCAGGGATGGTGTAGATGGAGCGTGGTCCTGCCTTGAGGGCGGGGGGCTGGACTCGATCACCTCTTGAGGTCCCTTCCAGTCCTATTATTCTATGATTCTATGATACATGTTGAGTATGAAACCGCAGAGTTCTGATGAGTTTGCATTTGACATGGCTAAGTTATGCTCCGGCTGCTGCTACCAGTACTCCTGAGGTTACACTTTTATTTATATTTGTGCTAGTTCTTACCATGCATATGTGAAAATGAGCTGGGAATACACCCCTAACTCACAGCATGAAAACAAACTGGGCCTGCTGGAATGCCTAATGAAAGTGTTTGCACAGTCACCATCATAGTGACCTAACATCAGTTCATTTGTATGGGCACACCCCTGCTAGTATCCATCAATTCTAAACCCTGGGTAGCACTTCTGTCCCTAGGATGGACCTAAACCAAATAATGGGATCCAACACCAGAACTAACCATTCACAGTCTCCCAGGCTTTTAAAATTTGGGTTGGAATTCTGCAGCTTGGTGACATTAACACTTGGGCTGTGTCTACACTGGCGCCATCTTGCGCCAAAGCAGCCACTCTTGAGCAAAAACTTGCTGCCTGTCTATACTGGTCGTGTGTTCTTGCACAAGTAAACTGATATTCTACTGTATAAAATCAGTGCTTCTTGCGCAAGAACTATGATGCTCCTGCTCAGGAATAAGCCCTCTTGCGTAACTGTTCTTGCGCAAGAGGCCAGTGTAGACAGGCAACATGAATTTCTTGCGCAAGAAAGCCCTATGGTTAAAATGGCTTTCTTGCGCAAGAGCGTCTACACTGGCATGGATGCTCTTGCGCAGAAGTACATCTCTTGCACAAAGGCACATGCCAGTGTAGATGCTCTCTTCTGGAAGAGCTTTTGCACAAGAACTCTTCTGCGCAAGAAACTGCCGGTGTAGATGTAGCCTTAGGCTATATACAGAGTATTCAGAAGGTGACTGCATCGATTGACTAGTGCTAGCCACAATAGGTGAATGCAGGGGAAGCTGTTTATAGAATATTCTATTTCTTTGTTCCTATGGGCAGTGTCATTCTTTTTTATTTTAAGTACAAAGAATTACATAGACATTAACAGGTCTTTATACATTGCCTCCTCCTCATCTGTTAATTAGAGGCAAGAGCTCTATTATAAATCTGAATATTTTTCATGGCTATGCATGCCGAGAAAGAAAAATAGTGGTGCTGAGATCCACTATGTGAATCTCAGAGTGGAAGTTTATTCTTAAATGATCACAGCTAGATTTAATAAAAATACAGAAACTGTGGAAGCAATAGCTCTAATTCCCGAACATGGTGACTAACAGACTCAGTGAAACTACCTACCTCTTATCTTAGTGCTAATGTATTCTACATACATGTCAAACTGAATAGTTGGCCTTGCTTAGCTAAAAGAAAGTGGACATACTTTTAGAATTTCTTGATGATTTTCTGATGCGTATAATCGTCCATCTCGAACAATGTCTTCTATCAGCTGTTGATAATCCTCTGAAAAATAAGAAGTAAAGGGACTGGTAAGCAACAGTTTATGAAGTAATCACAGAGATTAGTATCCAGTCAACTGCTAACTAGCTAGAAAGCATTTGAGAACAAATTTAGTTTTATACTCATTCAGGATATGTCTACAGTACGGGACAAGGTCAAATTAAGATACGCAACTTTAGCTACGTTATTTGCGTAGCTGAAGTCGAAGTACCTTAACTCGACTTTTGGTGCTGTCCACACTGCAGGAAGTCAAAGGGAGAACGCTCTTCGTCAGACTTCCTTTATTTCTTATGGAAGCAGGATTACCAGCATTGACCAGAGTGCCCCTCTCAGTTCGAATTAGCTGTCTTAACTAGACCCGCTCATTCAAACGCTGGAAGATGGACAGTGGCAACTTCGATCGTCTCGGTAGGGTAGCTGTACCCACAGTGTCTCCAATACCAGTACTATATAATCAACTTAATACTTTAAGTTCTATACTGATTGATGTTATCAGTTTTCTTTATAAATGTTAATTTCACTTCACAAAGCCATTATAAGGCAGGAAAGTTTTATTATCCACCTTTTACAGATAAAGAAACTGAGGCACAGAGATAATAGGTGACTTGCCAAGGTTATCTGGGAAGCCAGTGGCACAGCCAGGAATAGACTCCACGTCTTCTGACTGTCAGTCCTGTGCTTATCTAGGCCATCTCCTCTCTTGACCTTTAAATCACCTCCCCTGTCCCCAACCTAAGTCCAGATTGACTAACAATTCAGCAAATTCCACTAGTATTTGGGAAATGAGGTGTGTTAACAAAGAAATTCCTCCATACTTTTAAAAGGAAATTTCCCCTTGAATATTTCCAGTCCTAGTATTCTATGATTCTATGATATGCCCAAGAAGCATTTTTTACATATTTCCCGGTGAAGATGGTTAGTTTTATGAAGATTGCTGATGTTTTTCTTTATTATATGTTGCAAATGAGAGCTGATTAGTTATTGGAGATTTCTGTTTCCATAGGAATTGTCTATGCTGGCTTTGTTGTTTAACATAGTCATATTTTTAATTATATTTTGTTGGGCCCCAATAGGCCTTCATGAATGGACTTTCTATAACCAAAGAGCAATTATCAATAGTATTCTCATCTTCATTATGATAAACAATGATTAACAAAGAGTCTCACTGGCTTTAATAGTAGCAGGCTCAGACTCAAAGGCTGTGTCCACATTGGCACCCCTTTCCGGAAAAGGGATGCTAATGTAGACTTCGGAATAGCAAAATCGGCGGGGAATTTAAATATCCCCCGCGGCATTTGTATTTACATGACTGCCGCTTTTTTCTGGCCTGGGGATAAGCCGGAGAAAAGCGCCAGTCTAGACGTGATTCTCCGGAAAATAAGCCCTTTTCCAGAGGATCTCTTATTCCTTGAAAGTAGGAATAAGAGATCCTCCGGAAAAGGGCTTATTTTCCGGAGAATCACGTCTAGACTGGCGCTTTTCTCCGGCTTATCCCCAGGCCAGAAAAAAGCGGCAGTCATGTAAATGCAAATGCCGCGGGGAATATTTAAATCCCCCGTGGATTTGCAATTCTGACTTGTCTCATTAGCATCCCTTTTCCAGAAAGGGATGCCAATGTAGACGTAGCCTTGATGTTGTTCCAAAATAACAGTGTACACAAGTGTTTTATATATATCTTGTTGGAGTAAGGAATAAGAAAAGGTAATAAATCACTAAAAATAAAAAAGGGGAAAAACATGGAAGAAGACCCAAAACTATTGAGAATCAGCACTGAAATAATTCATTGAAAAAAACAAAAGTGAGTTGCATCAAATTCTTTATGCATCTCGTTTCCCCCCTTCAATCAGTATAGGATAGATTCAGACATGCAGCTCTGTACATTCAGAAATAAACAGAAAGAAAATGACTCCAGTCTTACCATCGTATGTCACATATGGGACTTGAAATCCTTTACCACTGTTTCCCTCATTTGATTTGAACTGAATCCATAGCTTTCGCGATCTGGAGGTAAATGCTATTGGTCTCTCATAAGTCTGACATGTTTCATATGTGGTAATTGATGTAGGGGATGCTAGAAAATTAAATAAATAAAGATCTTTGTAACATTACATTTCCTTTTCTTTCTCTGGAGGTAGAGATGTCCACTAATAGTCCACTCATTCATTCAGGCTTTCCTTTTAAAGGAAGTGATATTCTTTGGATAGAAGGCATGCCATCATTTTCTGCATATAAGGGGAAAGCTTCTCTCCAGAAGACTAGAGGCAACTTTCCCTTTCTGTCCCAAGGGGTGTGTCTTGACTACATCCCTCTGTCAGCAAAGGGGTGTAAATGAAGCACTTTGAATGTGCAAATGAAGCCGGGATTTAAATATCTTTTGAAAAAAGCCCTATTTCAAAAATAAAACCAGTCTAGATGCAATTCTTTTGAAAAGGGAAGGCTTTTTCGAAAGATCCTGTTAACCTCAAAAAATGAGATTTACAGGGTCTTTTGTAAAAGCACCCCATTTTTGAAAGAACTGCGTCTAGACTGTGGTTTTATTTTTGAAATAGGGCTTTTTTCAAAAGATATTTAAATCCCGGCTTCATTTGCACATTCAAAGTGCTTCATTTACACCCCTTTGCTGACAGAGGGATGTAGTCTAGACATAGCCAAGGTGGGGATAATAGGCAGATAGCAGGATTCAACACCAAATTACTATGATTAGAAATGATCAAGAAATGGAATCTCTAACCTGTGGGAAAATCTGTCATTTTGAAATTGATTTTGTTCTAAATCTGGATGAAAAATTGAAATTTTAAAATATTTTGTGCAATGGAAATTTCAAAGTATTTCACTTCAGAAGCATCAAAGCAAACTTATCTAAATATTCAATGTTTATAAAGTATTAAATATTAAAGCCAAAATGAAACAGAAATATCAAAACAAAACACAAATGTCAAAATGAAAATACCCCATTTCCATTATAAATCATTTAGTAACTTTTCTATCATAAATGTTATCAAAATTGACATGATCCTACAGAACGTTTTGATTTTGACACAACAGATTTTTTTGTCAGAAAATGCTGTTTCATAAATTTTCAAATAGATATAATTACTATTAATTATATGCCAGGCAGATAGTGCCCATTGTGCTTAACCCTCTGACAAAACATATTCGAAAGAGGCATTCTTTGCTCCAAAAAGCTTATACTCAAAGACAAGCTCATAAGACTTCCAGTGTTGGAAGTTAATTTGATGGCAGCAGATTGGCCATTATTTCAGAGCAAAATATCACCATACTGCAATGCAATATCAAATTACAATTGACAATTTGGGGAAACTAGAAAGGATCCCACAAACACACGAGGAAGAAATGACAGTGCCTCAGCTCCTAAGAAATAACATGGCAGATGGCAACCCAAAGATGAAGCCAGTGTTTAAAAGACAGGCCTTTTTACTTAGTTTAAAAGCAACCTGAAGAATTCATATCCCCAGGTAATAATGGAAAATATTTTACCGGAGTAAGTTTAAAAGCAGAATTAGGTTTTATGGGGCTGATCTGACTCCTATTGAACTTAGGCTATGTCTACACTGGTGGCTTTTTGCACAAGAACATCTTGTGCAAGGGTTCTTGTGCAAGAAGTCTTGCACAAGAAAACATCCACACTGCCATGTGCGAGCTGTGCTTTTGCGCAAGAGCATCCATGGCAGTGTGGATGCTCTCTTGCACAAGAAAGCTCTGATGGCCAGTTTAGCTATAGGGCTTTCTTGTGTAAGAAATCCCTGCCGAGAGTCCACACTGCCCTCTTGCGCAAGAGCTCCTGCGCAAGAGGGCTTACACCTGATAAAAAAGAGCGTAGCTCTTGTGCAAGAAGCCCTCTCTTACCATGCCATACAGTAAATTTCCTTGTGCAACAGCGGGCAGGCAGTGTGGACGCTTTGCGGATTCTTGCGCAAGAACGGCTGTACTTGCTCAAGAAGCTGTGAGTGTAGACATAGCCTTAGTGTTAACAGTCCCAGTGACTTCAGTGGGATTTAAATCAGGCTGTAAATGAGTTCCCAGATAGAATCAATGTTAAACTGGAGTTAAGACTGAGTACCTATCAATAATTTAAGGGTAACAACAATATAAGGATATTGTAATGATCCCGCAAACAAGTCTTACAAAACCAAGAAATTCAGAGGCAGGTTTTACTTTCTCATGTTTCACATGCCAAGGTACAGAAATGTACAGGAAAAGGTCCCAATAGCCTCAACTCTGCCCCATAGTTATGTTATTCAATAACCATACATTTAAGATTAGCATATCAAAATTTGAAATCCTGGATTAGATTAGATTAAATTGATTTTTAGTTACATTATTTTTTTTATGGACTCTCTACACAATAAAATTAAGACTGCATTCAAAGAATAAATCTATAATCTTGGGAGGACATGCTGTGATCTAATAAAATGTTTGGATCACTGTTTGAAGAACACATTTAAATTCAACCTTAGAGAAGGTACCATGACCTTATATCATAAAAATAGCATGTAAAGTTACACAAGATCAGATAAGCACTTGAAGAACTATTCTCATACTTCTGGACATAGGTTGATAATTAGTTGTGGTGAAGAAAACATTTCCTTCCATATTTTAGTATTGCTGTTCCTGTAGGAGCAATATTGGCAGTAAAGGTTTTTCCCCCTGAAGCACCCAGCATTCAACAGTCTTGGAACAGTACGCAGGACTTGATGGACTGTTGGATTGGTTGCGATGAAGCAGAAGATTTCTTGCTTTTTCAATTATATGTATGCACAATGCGTGGGACTCGATTCTCTGGGTGTTACTTATTTAACGAGGTGATGGATGAGTGAGATGGCCATTACAGAGGACCAGCTGTGACTATGCCTGACAATTGGGACCTGGACAACAGCCTGGAGAATCAATACCCCATTGACTAGAGGCCTGGTGACCCGAGCAGTTGGAGGATAATGGGCTGAGGACCTGGTGACCTAACCAGTTGATTCCAGCCAATGGGGAAACAAAGGACAGATGAGAGGAGAGGAGGCCCAGGTGGCCTTTTTACCTGGAACAGAAGACAAAGGACAGAGGTGGGGCTCATGTGAAGGTAATATCAGATGCTCAACTAAAAGAAGGGGGTTTCTGGACTGGAGAGAGAAAGAGAGCAGCCAGCACCCACCTGGATGCAGGAGAGACCTAGATGTATTATGCTAAGGGAGTTTAGGCTCAGAGTTTCCTGTGCTATGTTCAGATGCTCAACACACCCCTTGTTTTACGCTGGCTGAAAGTCACTCATGACGAGAGATACAGGAAGCATTATTTCCTCTGGGAGTGGAAGCCTCAAGGGTTCTAAGGAAGTGGACTCCCTGAGGGGGCTCACGACAATAAACAGGCATGCTGAAGGCCCAGAGAAGTGTGGTGTGAGGAGGCAGCAGGGCCTATGGCTTAACCCCTAAGAAAGGCTGTCACACTGAAGGTGTTCCTCCCAGGGACCATTGAGAGCCACAAGAGAGAGCACAAGTCCTATGAGTCTGTGACACTGGTATAGCAATTTTTTGGCTCTTATAGAATGACCTGATTAATTATATCCCCATTCTCTTAAAAAAGAGCATGTAAGAAATTGCTTACTAGTCAGATATACAGAACTGTAAATATAAATCCTTAAGAATCAAAAGCTGTTGAAACCATTGTACTAATTAAAATAGACTGTTGCTCAATACATCTGATTTTTTTAAAAATCACATCTTTCACAGCTGGTGCTTCTCTGTGCTTTAGAGTGTTAATAATAAGGTGAACAGAAACTGAAGGCTTAAGGAGAGATTTGAAGAGGAGAAGGCTAGACCACTGACTAGGCTTGCTTTTGAGAAGTCTTACAAAAATCACAGGAGAGGTGTTATATGACCCTTATCTGTGAGGCTAAACAGAAATTTGAGGCAAACTTTGGGAAACATAACAATATTTTGATAAATTAACAACCTCTTTCTTCATTACTGCACAGATATAATACTTGGACTGGAAATTTATGAGAATGTTAGAGATGACTGGCCAGCTCACCAGCTGGTGTAGATTGTCATAGCTCCAGTGACTTCCACAGGATCTGGCCAGACAAGACTACATTATGAGCCTTCTGATTCATCCAAGACACTTTTTTATTATAATCAACACACGACTTTCTAGTTAAAGCACTCTGTTTCAGCGCTAGCCACAACTTGCTGTATCAGTTCACTGAAAAGCACTTGTAAGAGCGTTGGCTCGAGCGGATAGAAAAATCATTTTTGGACTTTGTCCATTCTATATAGGCATTCCACTTATTCCACATTGGTGTAAATATTTAAATGGCTCACGACTGGCAACTTACCACTTTTTCTCATTACTAAAACATCACCACACTCGTCTTCAATGGGAAGAAATATCTCAGGAACCACAATGAGTATTCTCCTCTTTGGGGGTGGATTTATATTCCAAATGCATTCCACATTAGCTGGGTAATCACCAGGGTAATTGGGAGACTCGATATAGCCAGTATAATCTCCAAGTTCCCCTCCACAGTGCTGGTCTGTGAAGAAACATAAGTTAGCATTTGTGCTTTGAAATATCTTTCAATTGTTTGGCTCTGCCACTGCCACCTCCAAACAATTCTTCATGGCATTTGACCAGTGTAAAGGTATGGAAAGCCTTTAAAAGAATATTGGCTTTTCTGAGTCACTGTTTTGCAAACCTAAATCTTAAACCTCTGTAAGGTAGGTAAGCATTCAATGAAACTGATGCAGAGAAGATAAGTGATTTGCTTAAGGTTCCACATCAAGGACTTGTCTACGCAGATTGCGATTGAACCACAAGCAGGCTGAGACTTTATGGTTCACTAGCTTGCCACGCACTGAGGGTATGTCTACACTTGCTCCCTAGTTCGAAGAGTAACATTAATTGGAACCAAGGGGTTTGGTTCGAACTAACGCATCCCGGCACGCACTTCCTGGTTCAAATCAGCTGTTGAGCGGAGTAACGCTTCATTAGCAATTTCGGTCGCCTACATTTGCATCCCTAGCTCAAACTAGGGAGCAAGTGTAGATGTACCCTAACTCACTCAAGTAGTCCTAAATGAACATCAAAACTGGGATTAGATTTATGAGTCCTGGCTCCCACAGTTCATATCACAGTGTCTTTTATTGCAAATGAAGGCTTTTCTCACACACCTGGCAGCAGTCACTTGCCATATAGTTATTTCAATGCTGGTAGAACATCCTATTTCCAGGGTTTCACTGTGAAAGACGGACAGTGTTCTGTAATATACTGAACAAACCTTACAAAATTAAGGTAAACTTTACTGAGTTCAGTTAAACCTCTCTGAACTACGGTTACCATCTTTAGGGTACATAGTATTACAAATGCAACTATGTATGTGTTATAGAATCATAGTGTTAGAGGGACCACCGGGGCCATCTAGTCTAACCCTGTGCTAAGATGCAGGATTTGTTGTGACTACACCATCCAAGACAGATGGCAGTCCAGCCTCCTTTTCAAAATCTCCCACAAAGGAGTTTCCACAACCTCCTTAGGCAATTTGTTCGATTGTCTCAGTAAACTATTCTTAGAGTTAGGAATATACTACCCTTGGTTGTCTTCTTGCTTCTAGTATATTTGTAGAATGTTTTCTTGTTACCCTTTGTGTCTCTAGCTAGACTGAGCTCATTTTGCACCTTCAGCTTTCTCATTTTGCCCTTATTTATTTGTGATTTTTTTATATTCATCCTTTGTAATTTGACCTAGTTTCTACTTTTTATAGAGCTCTTTTGATTTTTAGATCATTCAAGATTTCTTGGTTAAGCCACGGTGGTCTCTTGCCATACTGCCTCTATACTATGCAGTGGTATATTGTGCTCTTGCGCCCTTAATAATGTCTTAATTGTTTTTCCTTTTAGACTTGCTTCCCAGGAGATCTTACCTACCAATTCCCTGAGTTAGCTACAGTCTTACCTTCTTGAAATCCATTGTCTTTATTTTGCTGTTTTCCCTCCAACAATTTCTTAGAATTAACAATTAACAACTATCATTTCATGATCATTTTCATCCAGTCAGCCTTCTTCTTTCAAATTCTCAACTATTTCCTCCCTATTTGTCAAAATCAAATCTAGAAGGGCCTGTCCCCTTACAGCATTCTCCAACTTCTGGACTAGAAAGAAGTTTTCAATATATTCCAAGAACTTGTTGGATAATGGTTCCCTGCTGTGGGATTTTCCCAACAGATAGATGTTTGAGTAGTTGAAATTCCCCATCACCACCAAGTACTGTGCTTTGGACAATTTTGTTGTATAAAGAAAGCCTCATCCACCTCTTCTGGTTAGGTGGCCTGTAGTACATCCCTACTATGACATCTCCTTTAATTTTTACCCCTTTTATCCTTACCTGGAGATGTAACATAAGTGATTTGCTTACTAACTAGATGCTACATAAGGATGAAAAAACAAGTGGGGAAGTCAATGCAGGCCGCAAAATTAATTGGAGCACTTTATTTTACAATTGTCATACCATTACCAATTCCTGGCAAGTGTCTAATTTACTCTAACTACATTTGAAATGACCAAAGACATCAAAGATTACACATCATATAATTAGAGTGAAAGCTTATGACAGACATGCAAACTAATGCATGGTTCAGTTACAGTGAACTGTCTTAAACAAACACAAACTACACTGGCCCCTTTTCCGAAAGGGGCATGCTAATTTTCAACTTCGGAATAGGGAAATCCGCGGGGGATTTTTAAATATCCCCCACGGGATTTAAATAAAGATGTCCGCCGCTTTTTTCCGGCTTGGGGAAAAGCCGGAAAAAAGCATCTAGACTGGCCCGATCCTCCGGAATAAAGCCCTATTCCGGAGGATCTCTTATTCCAACTTCGAAGGACGTAGCCACAAAGAATCAGCAAAATCTGATTGCCTAGAAGAAACTATCTTTCACTAATTTGTTGTACACTCATTGGAGATAGTCTAAAGTGGTAATTTAAGCTTAAGGGTTGCCTATCGTAGGAGATTCTCAATGCAGATATCACTGTAGTCAAAGGTTACCAGGGAATTACAACATGCAGACAGTGACAAGGGTTTGTGAATGAGTGATTGCGTCTCACAGTATTTCATAACTGTTAATGGTAGTATCTAATTTTCAATCATTTTAGCTCTATAGAGACTCCCAGGATCATGAGTCACTGCAAAATTTGCATAATCTAGAAACTCTGTGTTTTTAATTTGTAACTTTACCATTCCAAATTAAACTAATGAACAAAAATTGTAATATATTCAGGGCTTCTTTTCTAGGTTTTGTTCTCAGAGCATTCATATTGTTTTCTACCACTGTAAAATTTTAGAATCTGCTCTGATGACAAGTGGAATTATTTGCAATTTTCAGGTTCAGATACAGATTCTGAACACCCCAAAGTCTGACTTATTAATATCCACAGTTTTCATTCAATCCCATCACCAACATATGGGAAAATGTTAAGAACTTACTTTTACAATGTGTAACATTAGTAGAACCATCAAAATCTGTACTTGTATTCCCAGGGCAGCTAATGCAGTAATTCTGACCAAATTCAGGCTGGTAGGTTCCAACAGGACACCTGATACATCTGTGTGTTGTAGAATTGTAGTAGTGGCCAGGAGAACAGTGAACTGTGCAATAGGAAGGTACGTTGTTACTTTGTAAAAACAATATTAACTGCAGTGGCATTTCCCTCCTCTATTAACATACTCTGCCTTTTCCATATCCCAAAGTATTTAGCATACAGTTAAACAAAAAAAGTTTTAATGCATTTTTCATTTACTAAGGTCTTTGACTGGAATCACATTCCAGGAACTAAAGCTAAATAGTTACTAATCAAATAAAATATGCTATATTTACTACCTTTAAACACAGTGATTTACAAATCAGACATTTATACCTGAGCTTACAACAAACAACATGTAAGTCAATAAACAGGGAAGTCAATACATGTTTGCAGTAACAACACAAATACCTTTTAGAATTGCAGATGAGAGGTTTTCATTATCAGACATTAGACAGTATTACTGTACAGTAATTCTTCATTTAACGTATGCCCGCTTAACACGTTTTTGCGATACCATGATTTTTTTTTTAGGGAACTTTTTTGAATTACATGATCATCCCCAGAATAACACAATTTCCCCAGCCAGCCCATCACTGGCGACTACGCGGGGCTTCCCCACCTCCCTGCAAAGCGGCAGCGGGTTTGTTGCTCGCAGCACCATTCCCCGATGACCCCACCTCGCCGGATGCAGTGTGGGTCCCGGCAGACCTGTCACAGGGGCAGACTCCCAACCCGATCACCCTCCCCTCTTCTCCACTTCCCTTCCCCAGAGCCAAACACCTCCCCTCCCTGCTGTAACCCAGTCCCCTTTCTCCCCCAACCTTATGTCCCAGTCCGAACAGACACCACCGCTTGAAATGCAACCCCCACCTTTTCCATTATTTTCAATGGGAAAATTGACTCCGCATAACATGTTTTCACTTAACATGATCATTTTCTGATAGGGTATGTGTACACTACCACCCTAGTTCGAAGTAGGGTGGTAATGTAGGCAACCGGAGTTGCAAATGAAGCCCGGGATTTGAATTTCCCGGGCTTCATTTGCATCTCGCTGGGCGCTGCCATTTTTAAATGTCTGCTAGTGCGGACTCCGTGGCATAGAGTCCACACTAGCGGACATTTTAGCCGCGCGGCATGGACATTTAAAAATGGTGGCGCCCGGCGAGATACAAATGAAGCCTGGGAAATTCAAATCCTGGGCTTCATTTGCAACTCCGGTTGCCTACATTACCACCCTACTTCGAACTAGGGTGGTAGTGTACACATACCCTATCAGAAAATGATCATGCAAGCAAGCATATAGGTATGTAGTCAGACAAACTCGTCCTTCACCACAGTGTCATTTATATGGAAGTTTGAAAACATGTACAGTACATTGTACATATATATTACAGTTATTTTTATAATTAAGGCTCAATCTTATGTCATTTGCATTACACAGCTTTTCAAATTCTTTAAATAAAACTAAAATGAGAGCCGTAACACTTGAGAGCCATATCCTCATCTGATAAAAATTCAGTCTAGCTCCATTGAAGTAAATGAAGCTATGTAGATTGGCACTGGTTGAGTGTCTAGCCCTGAAAGTGCATGTCATGCATTCCAAAAAATACAATGTTATATTATATTTATTGTACAATGATTCTACAATGACAGCAGATCATTTCTGATTTGTGATTTCCTGACTGCTTAACTTAATAACACAGTTGGTTTTTTCTGAAGGCCTTCCAGTTGTTCAGCAATGAACAATTCCAAGTGAAAGAAGAAATTGTGGAGCAATTATTAAGCAAAATATTTTACAAAATGGGAAAAGCTCTGAAATTTTTACCTTTTGTTTCACAGTCCTGAAAAGAAACAGCGCCTTCATATTTTGTCACCAGTCCTCCACCACATGGAAAGCAAAGGGTTCTGCCTGGCTCTGGTTGATATGTACCAAGAGAGCATACTCTGCAAGGTTTAAAGCCATCTGAAGAGAAATACCCAGGAGAACACTGCCCTAGAAATTGAATATGGTCAATTATATTATTAAGCCTATCTCTGTGCACAATATTTTAAAAAAAAATCAGTATGCAGTGTTTCCTAAAACTTTAAAAACATAATACTAAACCTACCAATTTAATAACTATTTGCCAAAAACAATGCTTACTACATTTGCTAAAAACATTTGCTTACTACAGTAGAACCTCAGAGTTACAAACAAACCAGTGAACCACACTATTCATTTGGAACCAGAAGCAAGTGACCAGGCAGCAGCACAAACAAAAGCAAAAATAAAAAAATAAAGCTTCCCAATCCATACCTGCACACAGAAATCTGATCTTGTCTCATTCCCAGCAAAAAAAGTTTCAAGGCTGTTTCTATTGACTATGTATAAACAGGGATACAGCAAATACCATACTGGATGGTGTTAAATGCAAACTACTAAAAAAAATGAAGGGAAAGCAGCATTTTTCTTCAGTACGTCTACACTGCATGCTTATTTCAAAATAAGCTATTCTGGAAGAAATAGTCTGAAACAGCTTATTTCGAAATAGCACATCTACACTATAGGGAAGCCTAAAAATTAGTCGAAGGCAGGCTTCCCTAATGTGGACATGCTACCTTGATTTAGAACCCCAGGAGACACTGGGGAGTAATTACTTTGAATGGCCCTGGGGAGGAGTTATTTTGAAATAGCAGCAGTGCAGCATCAACACTACTACTATTCCGAAATAGCTATTTTGGAATAGGCATTATTCCTCATGGAATGAGGTTTACAGAAGTCAGAATAAGTCATCCATTATTTAAAATGTGTTTCAAAATAACGGAATTGCTATATAGACGCTTGCATTGTTATTTTGAAATAATGGCCATTATTCCAAAATAACAGTGCTGTGTAGACACACCCAAAGTTACAAATCAGTGTATCAAATCAATGTTCAGTTGTAAACTTTTGACAGAACAACCATAACATTTGTTGAGTTACAAACTCTATTCCCAAGATGTTAGTGCGTCTGATGATCTACAGTACTACCCCAAATGCAGCTCCAGCTCTCTTCTACGTGATAGCAGTGCTCATGTGTGAAAAGTTGGAACAAACCAAAATATTTTTTGGCATTACTTATAAGTGCACAGAGCTCTTTTCTGTTAGCTTGATAAGGCAGAAATTGTGGAAGGCTTTCCCCACTATTAGCCTCCATACCTTGCTTACTATTGGATTGCATCTACTCCTTTTATAATCAAACTAAACTTACCTCCACATTCTGACACATTCCGTGCGCCTGCTATTCCCTGTCCATCATTACTTGGGCACGGTTCACAAGTCAGTTGACCTTCTGTGTCTTGGTATGTTCCTGGCGAGCAAGGAATGCACTGATTATGTTCTCCACTATAATAGGTGCCCATGCTGCAGGTAACTGAGGAAAGAAAAGCAAAATCTACATAAGGGCCTTCATTTTGATAATGGAGCTTTGCCTTCATAGCAAACATTTAGAGAAGATGAACTTTGTTGGATCATTCCACCATTACCAATGACACTGCAGATTTTGCGCTAAAGAAACTAGGTCCATCAGTGGAACTGGGTCAGTTTACAACTGCTGAAGATCCAGCCTATATTGTTTAAACTATATCATCAGACATATGCTTCCAAAAGAGTTAACTCGGTTTTAAAAAAGTACATTGTATTTAAGCAAAATGCTCTTCCATAATGGATGGAGAATTAAGTGATTTTTTCCCCATTTAGACTAGATATACGTAAGTGGTGGGTTTTATGGGAGATGTAGATACAAGGTCTATTCTCAGAGGCCATGATCCGTTGCCATAATGATGCCATGGATTTTTCAAAAGGCAAGGCATCACATCTCAGGTTGGATACTTCCTAACAGTGACATGGTTTAACTGGCAACCATTCTAAACACATACATTAATCCACATTCTCCTACAGAAACAGGATATAAAACATTTTATAACATTATGCCTATAGGTTAAAGCTTAAGGGTTTCTAGACTATCATTGCTAATTTTTCCATCCTCTAAATAGAAGTGTTATTTGTGTATGAACTAGATAATCAGACATTATCAAATCCTCATGTGAAAATTCCATTATTTTTTGAATGTAAACAACTAGATGTGTAAAACTTCACTGAAAAAAATGTATAGGCGGATTTTGAAAATTTTACTCAAAGTAACTACAGTGGTGCCTGGAAAAATAAGTAGTACTGTTGGACTGTGTCTACATTGGCACCCCTTTCCGGAAAAGGGATGCTAATGAGACACATCGCAATTGCAAATCCGCGGGGGATTTAAATATCCCCCGCGGCATTTGCATTTACATGGCTGCCGCTTTTTTCCGGCTTGGGGATAAGCTGGAGAAAAGCGCCAGTCTAGATGTGATTCTCCGTAAAATAAGCCCTTTTCCGGAGGATCTCTTATTCCTACTTTCAAAGAATCCTCCGGAAAAGGGCTTATTTTACGGAGAATCACATCTAGACTGGCGCTTTTCTCCAGCTTATCCCCGAGACGGAAAAAAGCGGCAGCCATGTAAATGCAAATGCTGCGGGGGATATTTAAATCTCCCGCGGATTTGCAATTGCGATGTGTCTCATTAGCATCCCTTTTCCGGAAAGGGGTGCCAATGTAGACACAGCCTTGATGAATTAGGAGCATAATGCTAAGAACTAGTGAAAAAGCATTAGCATCATCAGCATTTGGCAAAAGTCTGGCAACTTGGAAAACATTTAAAACCAGACTATCCTTGTTCCACCTAGAATTAGACTAGATTAATCTGATTTTGGTTTCCCTAGATTGCCTATGTATCTAACAAATTTATTGTATGGTTTACTGGTGACCAATTAATTTTAAGGGGTTTTTATTTTTGGTGCTGTGGGTCAGAAAGTGACTCTAATTTTTCTAGGACTTACTGCATTTTCCATCCTGCAGCACTTGTCCTGTACTACATGCTTCATGTCCTTCAGTAGCCTTAGCTGGCTTATGAGCCACTTCGTACTCTGTCCCAGAAAACTGAATGTAAAATTGCTGTTTGTTAATAGATTTCCTCAATGTTTTGATTGCAGTTTGTAGCTTCTGCTCCATCCTTTTCCGCACACAGTCCAGGTTACAGGTGTCTAGGAGGGAAATAAGAAGAAAACTAGATGCAACTGAGAGTCATTTTTTGAAGAGTCGCTTAGTAAAAAATTCTCAACCAGAAAAATGTCCTGGTACTTAATTCACTTTCCTTTTAGGTAGCAAGTGGCAAAGAAGTTGCATTTTTTAAAAATCAGCTAGCTAACTGGCTGGCTTGGTGTTAGACTGTCTGAAAAGGATAGTTAAGCACTCTGTACCTAGCAAACTAAGCTTCCTGATTCATACCTGCACAAAAAAATCTGATCTTGTCTCGTTCCCAGCATAAAAAGTTTCAAGGCTGGTTCTATTGACTATCTATAGACAGGGATACAGTAAACATATCACATCAGCTGGCAGAGCTAAGCTGGCATCAAGTGAACATAACCTGTACCATTATGGGTTGCGGCATTGACTATTGTTACTTGGATTCCTGGAAGTAGTAATTGTCTTCCACAGTGTATTTCTAAGGACTTAATCCATTTCAAGTCTAAAAAACCTCAGACAGCTTATCCTCTATAACTGCATTGGGAAATATTATCCCATAGTTTAATAACACTATTGAATATTGAAATATTTATGATAGATTAAATTTTTCTTTGATGTTATATTATAATATAACATTCTGGAGAGCCCTAAACAATTCTTCCCCAACCTGAATCTTCTTTATATGGCTGCCAAAATATGGCATGATAGGTACATGATAAAAAATGTGTGATAAAAAATGCTTGATTTTCTGACCTGGAGTTCAGCATTCTATATTCTAGGAGATTTTTTTTTGAGAGACATCTCCTAAAAGGAAACAGTAAGGAGCCAAGTCTGTATCAATGAACATATCTATTATTAGTAGCGATGAGTCCAAATCAAATCCCAGGATCTAAATACCGCTGAACTTTTGAGAAGATTGGCATTAGGTCCAATCTTTCTGCCCATCTCTAGCTACTAGCTCAGTTTCATGCTACATCTTACAATCATCCTTACAGCAGAACTTCCACTGAAGTCGGTGGAAGTTCTGAGTGGGGATGGGCGGTTGCGTTATTGTTTCGTGTAATGTGCTTTGTAAACTGGCCTGGTGAAACAGCAGCAGAAAGAAACTAGCTTTGTGATTCTTACACAAACCTGAGACTTCTTCAGACTTCATCTCTACTTCGAATTCGGCTGTGATATGGGACACTTCTTTCGATGGTGACTTACGGCCCCGACGTTTTTTCTTGGAGGAATCACACTTGAGGTTCACAAAGGTCACCTGGCAGTTGTCTGTACAAGGGAATTGACCTCCTTTGCATAACAGAAGTGACATGGAAGAGAAATCAAGTAGCAAGGTAGCAAGTGATAAGCTGGTGTGTGATATTTCAGCTGGGTTAACATTAATGCTGTAGCAGGTTTTTTAACATTCCACATGCATTGTTAGACATACCCTCATTTGTGCAATTTTTGCTTTTTGTAAGCAAGGGCAGCAAAAGAAGCCTATACAGCACAGATATAAGAATGGCAATGCTTAGCTTGTGTGTTTGTGTCTTTAATAACAATAACACATATTTTCAACTTACTGTGTCTAAGGAGATGGAAGTTCTTAACAAACATTTAATTAAAAGTCAATGTTGTTATTCTTAGTTTATTGATGATTAAATTAAGTCAGAGGGTTCACTTGCATCATGTCATATTAGAAGGGAGAAGCAGAGCAAAGACCAAAATCTCAAAGTGTGGCTTCCCACTCGTGTTCTAGCCAGTAGGCGATGTTGTCATTGTGTTCTAGCCACAGGCAACGTTTATATTGTGACAGCTATTAAGCAACAACATTTTTCAAAATTCCTGTTATTTGAAGGCTATAAAACATATTTTAGAAGGTTTTAAATTAGGTATACATGGCCCAGGAGAACTGACGAGATTATTTAAAAACACCGAGATATTGAGGAGGAAGGGAGTGATTTCAGTTAGGAGACAACCAAATAAGCATTCATGCCCATAAAGAGATTTTGGGGATATTCTCCTAGGTTTTAATAACTGAGGGCACATCTTCACTGTGGTGTTAAATTGGGGCTGTTGCAATTGATGCAACAGCATTGATTGAGCAGGTCAGGTGAAGACATGCTAAATCAATGGGAGAGTGCTATTCCTGTACTCTGTCTTCCTGAGAAGAGCAAGGTAAGTCAGCTGGAGAGCATCTCTTATCAACACAACATGATGAAAACACTGCAGTAAGAGGATCTAGATACATTGACTTCACTTATGTTATTCATGTAACTGAAGTAGCATAGCTAAGATAGATTTATCTCCGCAATGTAGACAAGACCTCAGTGCCACAATGGCTGTTCCAGGGCTGTAGTGCATAACTCTACAACACCAAAGCCTCCAAAATATGTCATTTTGGATATGGCTTTATATTATATCATCTTATTGAGTAATCATACGATTTACAGCATTAATTCAAGTCAGATATAATTATAGAGTTAAGGCAAATAGCTAGCAAGTATAAAGCAAATATAGCCAAGAACATATACTTACAATATGGGCTGAAAAAAAGAATGTCTATGACTTTCAAAATGGTTTTGATACCCAAATGTTATAGAAAGAAAACAGCCATGATGCCAAGATAACAGTTCAAGCAATAGAATAATTATTGTACGGGTGCTTTGAAAATTAGAGAGAGAGAGGAATATTTCCATTTTAGATTAAGATAAATAATGAAATTAAACATAAAAGAATCTTCAATTCCTATTATAATATTCAATTGTTTTAATTTAGTGTTCATGTATGATTTTTTTAATAAGAAAATTCCCAGACAAATCTATGTTAAAAGGGAATTAAGATTGGGAGTATATATCAGCAATTTAGAATAAAATACTTTACTGGGATGTTGGAATTATATTAAAACTAAGCATTATAAACTCAGGAAATTCAGAATTAACATGTTTGGCCTTCTTTTAAATTTAACCATACGGTATGGAGATACACAATTAGGGCACCCGAACAACCTTCACTCTGCCCTGTAGTAATACCAACAGGAATAAAAGAAAAGAAAAAACCTAACAGATCTTTAAAAATAATTTGCCATAATCTATTCAGGGAAGTCTACAAAAATGTCAAAACCAGAAGCCTGTAATTGATGTACAGGTAAAGTCCCAGATCTATCTGTTGTAGAAGCATTTCAGACTAGGACCTTAATTGGAGGAGCAGGACAGATACCTTTGTCTGACTTCATTTGACATCTCAAAGACATACCATGGAATATATAGTTAAAATGGTTAGTTCTTTATCACTTAAACGTTTCGTCTGTTCAACTTTGAAAGGGATACTCAAGACGAACCTTTTCTATGTTACTAATAATAGACTAGATTATTCAACTGGCAACAGTTTTAACAATGTATTTTCTGTTTCACTATTTATGTTGTTTATTTACTTTTTGTCCTTCACTCTGTCTGGGCACTCAGTCTAGAATGGTCAATCTCACTTTTGTATTTAGTCAACTTCTCTTTCTCGTTCCTATACACACAATCAGATAACAATCCCACTCCACTGAGATTATAGTTACTACAATTAAAAGAAAAAAACTTTAATTAAAGAGTTAATGAAAATATGTATTGTGGCAGGGCGTTGGACAGGGAGTCCGGGGAAAGCCCAGCTGAGGCAGTTAAGGAGGGCCCAGCTGGAGGCTATTAAAGCAACTCCTGGAAGGAGGAGGGAGCCCTAACCTGCCTGCCTGCAGTAAGAGAGGCTTCGGCCTAGCAAACCCAGGCTACCTGGCCTGAGACCCTAGGGGCTACAAGGAGGTAGCCATGGAGGGTGGGGCTTGCAAGAAGGCAGCTGTGGTAGGCTGAGGGTGTTTGAGCTAGGGAAGCCCCAGGCCATAAGTCTTGAAGGCAGGGTTGCAGGAGGCTAGGGCTGCCAGGTGTCCTGTTTTCTACCAGACATTCCGGTATTTGTACCGTCTGTCCGGTAGAAAAATTCAGAAAATACCGGACATATGCAGGGAAGCCTGGCAGGGGCGGGGGAGTGACTGGGAGGCGGGGCGCGAGTGGCGCTGGGAGCCCTGGTTGTGTGTGAGGAGGAGGAGGGGCAGCCCGGTCCATGCTCCTGCGCACTGGTCAAGCGCGTGGTGGAGCCACAGCCAGACTGACTCGTGCGGGATGGGAGCACCCTGAGATCTGCACAGCCCGGGACAGTCCTACTCCCTGCCGGCTGATTCGCTCCCCTGCCCCCTCCTCCAGCTCTGCGTCCTGCTGGCTGCGTTCCTACTCCGGTTCTTCCCCGGCCAGTTCCTCTTCTCCCGCCTTCTCCCCTCCGCCGCTCCGCTAGCTCTGCGTCCCGCTGGCTGGTTCCTGCTCCAGATCTTCCCCGGCCAGTCCCTCTCCCTCCTGCCCCTCCGCCAGCTCTGCATCCCGCTGGCCGGTTCCTGCTCCAGATCTTCCCCAGTGAGCCCCACTGCGCCCCCAGCCAGCCCTGCTTCCAGCGGCCAGTTCTCCCCCCCCC